ACATAGATACTACATACACTCAGGTTATGGAATGAGTTCCCTGTCGAGGTTTTCCCAAGAGACTACAGCATGGGATTCTTCAAAAAGGGGTAAAGAGGTTTCTTCAGGGTCGGCAAAGTGCGCGTAATACCTTTGGTATTGCAGGTGTTCATAAGCTACGGTAACCACTTACCATCAGGTGGGCCGTATGTTTGGCATCTCAGTGGTATAAAAAAAAGATACATAGATACTCTTGTTTTCTCTAAAAGTTTACAATAGTAAACTTATTACAGATACAAATAATTACATAAACAAACTGTCTCGTAGTTCGATCAATGAATAATTTGTTAACATTTTCATTAAAGTCTGTTAAAACAAAAATCAACGTTATGGCCACAATAAAATTAATATTAATCTCGTTGCTGAAAATAATATACCTTTACGCCACTGAAAATAATACCAATTTCACTAATAAGCACAAGAGCACCTCTCGTTCAGTTTATACTTTTAATATTAAATGTTTAATAATCTGTTATTACACTGTTTTAAAAGAAAGAATAAAAGATATTAAAATTTTCATTTTGTCATTTCGATTGAACGATATTCAGCGGTTGAAGTTTCGTTTAATGATTGAGATTATCTCATATTCGTAACGTTCATATATAATAATAATAAATAATAATTTTTATTCAAGTAGGACGACCTCTCCACTAGATGGAGTGACGACCTGAAATGCGTTGCAGGGAGTCAGTGGATGCAGGTGTCTCAGGACCGTTCTTTATGCAAGTTTCTGGGGGAGGCTTATGTCCAGCAATGGACGGATAATGGCTGAAATGATGATGATGATGATTGAAGTAAACTTAATAAAAGGAACATAGCTGTTGGGCTGGTATATGAAATTGATAATTGTTTTCCTCAACTAAGTGTTATTTTGCGGAATTCCGTATCCTTGGTTAGTCGATTGGAATTATTTTGTTTAATTCCGCTACCATTAGTATGCCTGGTGATTGATAAATAATATCGAAGTTCGAATAAGTTCTAGTAATGATCATATTAGTCGTTTAATTGTCCACTGCTGAACGTAAGACTCTGCCTTTGAGGATTATGTCAGTAGTTGCTACGCTTGGCAGGCGGATTGACAACTGCAGTTAAGCTTTGCTGATGTTTAAAAGGAAGTAACTACTGTCGACCCTTTGACCCTTAAATTTCCTTAGTCACCTCTTACGACACTTACGGGAAAGGGTAGCCATTTGCATGCTGAGATCACACAGCTAATAATAACAGTTGGTAATTTTCAAATGTTGGCAGTCGCACACATACTAACGGTAGCGGAATTAAACAAAATAATTCTACTAGACTAACTAATAAACTAATACTTAATAGACTTTGTAAGATGCAACTGAGGGAACTTAATGAACGAGGTATGGACAGCAACGTCCCTCTTAAAATATCTCTAAAAGCCTAACTGCGGTTATCAACCTATCTGCCAAGTGTAACAACTACTGTCAAATCTCTCCTTATGGAGAAAGGTTTTTTTTATGGGTGAAAATGATATGGTAACCCTGCCTGCGCTAACAGTATACGCTGGCTGAGCACCAGTGAAGGGTGATAGATGAGAATGAAAACAGGCCAGTTAGCCTATCATGATGAATTATTCGGGAATTAACCATGATAGTTTCCAGGGAGAACCGCCAGGAGGTCGACCTAGTTGAGTATATTGCTAGCAATGGGATTCTCAGTCTCCATTACTAACAATCCCTTTCTCCCCCTATGGAGAAGGGTTACTCAGCAGTGAACAGTTAACGGCTGATGATGATGATGATGATAATGATTCGCGACTTCATTTGTACGATGACAGCATAATAGCTGATCAGCAAAAAATAGCTTATGTACTTTTCCATTCCTTACAGTAAGTAAATACCATACTGCATAGTGATTGGTTAAGCTGTAAAAGCGATAAGAGGTAACAAACAAACAAACAACCGCATTTCCATACATATATTGCTAATAATGATTAATCATTATATGAAACTTTGTAAAGATGTTTGTGTCAATCAGAATTAAATAACTGAATATATTTTAATGAATGCCTTATTTATTAATTCACGCGAGCAAAGACGTGGAATACAGCTAGTTATATTGTATAGGCATACGTGATTTATAATTACGTATGTTACATTAATTTATTCTTTACTAATGGAGAGAAAGAAACAGTAATGAAATTACGACCAAATGACTCCGTACAATCAAATGTAGTGCAGGACAATCCCCAAGAAAATGAGATGATGACCTCAAGTGCGTTGCAAGTTAAAGTCAATCATTGAAAGTGGCTCAGAACCGTTTCATAGCAGTCTATAGGTGAGGTCCACCTTCAACAAATAATTAAATTAACGGGTGAACGAATGATAAATGATAATTTGTTATTACAAATAACAAAGTAACAAAATCTGTAGGTCACCATAATCTACTTAATTAATGATCCGTAGCACTTTACTACGTAATAGGACGCTACGACGTAGCTTTTAGCTACGTCGTAGCGTCCTATTTCAAAGTGGTAACAAAAAATGTTAAAAATTTATAACCTCTATAATATAGTGGACAGATATAGTATTTTACTTAAATAACGTACCAGGTTCGATGCTCGGACGTGGCATTTTGGGAATGGATTGTTTTTATTGGTTCGAATATTATACGTTTATCTATTTGTATTTTATAAGTTCCTTGTCTTGATTTAAAATCCAAAGAATTGGTATAATTGTATATAATAGTTAGAAATAATTTATTACTAGCTTCATCTCGTGACTACGTGTGCGTGACCGGGATTTGTTTACTAGCCGGGATAAAAATTAGCTTATATCCCTCACCATCCCATATGACGATAATGGAGAATAGAGTTAGCAAAACAGATTCTTCTTCCTTTGGCATTGGCTCTGCGCAACGGTGTCATAAGCCAGTATCCGGACTTAAATATATTAACTTGTAAACTTGTAGAGTTTCGCAGAATAGTAATAAATTATTTAGAAAGTGTTCAATAATTAAATTTTATTGTTTCATATATTATGATTACTAAGGGAGCGAATTGGGAAACTGTCAAGCTCTCTTAGTTAGTATATAAATAAAGTGTGTATATACAAAACTTCATAGTGATTACGTTTCGAATGGGCTGTAATGAACGAACGACTATTCAAAAGTACTTAAATTTACTTAAATAAAAATATTGATTTATAAGAAAACAAACAAACTTTCACATTTATAATATTAGTAAAGATCCTATTATTATAAGAATTATAATATTGTAATGTATGTGTGTGTAATAATTTTTAATTGTACTAACCTAGCTTTTACCTATGACTTCGTCCGTGATCGGGTTATATTCACCGATTGGGATAAAAAGCTAGTGTAACGTATATACTTCGACATATTTTATATTATGAATGCAACAAATTTTATAGTGGTCGGTTAAGTCGTTAAGACACTAAGAGGTAATAAACAAAAAGGCTTTTACGTTTATAATAACAATAAAGAGGTGCGAATTCAAATAGACTTGTTTACAAGCATTTTTAAATCGTGATTGTTTTTAATCTACTACAGGGTTGAGAAGGTAGTCATCTGTTGAGAAGAGCCCGCAAGAAACTCAACTATTTTAAATCTCTGTTAACATTATGTGTATTTATTTAAGTGTACTATGTCTTAAATTACATGGTCGTTAAAAACCCATGTATGATCGACTAACACCATGCACATTTATCAATCTATTTTATTTTATGCACTTAATTTGATATGAAGATACAGACGTACATTTGACATGAAAAAAATATTATTCTACTTCATGTAATATGAACTATAATTATATCTGGCGTTAACAGTCCACTGCTGAACATGTACCTTCCTTACAAGTGGAGTTTTGCCAGTAGTTGCCAAGCTTGGCAGGCAGTTTGACAACTGCAATTAGACTTTGGTGGTGTTTTAATTTTACATTACAATTTTTTCTATTTAAGTACGAGTACTTAATCATTACATAAATTAATTTAAGAAATAGGCCCTATTAGTATTTATCTATCTACATGCAAGCATTTAATAACCCGTAGTTATATATGTAGGCATACGTGTATTTTTTTTATTTATGTACTAATATATAACTATTATATAAATTGATTTAATAAGTAGGTACTATATGCAGGTCTATATTCATTAATGAATAAATGTACATACATAATTTATTAATAATAAATTATTTTTATTTAAGTACTAGTTCATAAACATTGCATAAATTAATTTAAGAAGTTGTTGTTACACACAAGTCTATATTTACTCGTGGTTGTGTGTAGACACAAAATATAATTAAATAATAGTTTCTGATATCTTCGTATTCAGTTATTCGTAGCATCTTGCTACGGCGTAGCTTCAATTTATGAAATTATACTATACACAACGTTTGATTTTTAATTTACATATTTCATTTTTTTTTCTTGTAATTACTAATATTAAAATACTGTTTTTTTATATAACTTAATATAGCATTTTTACAAATGGATTAAAGAAGGCATATTTGTTAATATTAAAATGTTACACTCGCAAAAAAATTGTTGTAGATAAATTCCAGGTACTTTATTTTGTAAACTTTATATTTAATCTAATTTATTTCTTTTTTATTTTAAAATCGCATTTTTTGAAAGCATTTCTTAGGCGATTATTTCTTTCTCTATAGTTCATATGTATATAATTAAAAATATATTTTTAATACGATTAAAAGTTTTAAAGTACAGTTTGGTAAAACTCGCAGATTGTGTATTTGTATTTTTTTTTATTCCTTAAACTATTAAATTTAAATAAATGTTAAAAATCGAAAAATACATTCTTACGGCAATACTCATACCATATTTTATATGAAGCAATCCACTGAAGATAGAAAAGAAAATACATCATTAATCCACACAATATTATCCAAGTCGACATTAACGAATGAAATTCTAAAAAAAAAACAAAAATAACGCTATTAGCATAATAGAAAAGGGACTCACGTATTGCAAATTCCATCGACGGTGGTTGTCCCTCGTGCAAAATTACACACGGAAAAAGTCAGAACATAAATCACGGACTCATCAACACGTATCGGAATTGTGTTACACTCGCGGCGAGCGCGGGAAGCGACCGCTCTCCGCGACGGTCGAACGGCGAATACCGAGTATTTGCAGGTGCGACTCAGCCGACTAGGGTTGTCTCTGGCTTGAGAACAATACAGAGTTTTATGTCATAGGCGACAGTTGGACGGATATTTTACGCGCACATCAAAGGGGGGAAAGGTTTATGCGTCAGTCACTACGATTATATGTGAATTATAAATATGTGAATGGTATTGGAATTTAGGTACACAATATCGTGTGCCTCGGATTATTAATATTCAATGTATTACTATTCGATTCGACTCACTGAAACTACGCCGAGACGTTGCATCTCTATGCATATTTTAACCAATATGTCATGGAAAGTTTTTTTTTTTACACTACTGAGAATGGCAAACAAGCTGACGGTCCACCTGATGGAAAGTGGTAACCGTGGCCTATAGACATGAGCAGTACCATGGACATAACAGAGTATACTGTTTCGCCCATGATACCCCTCATGCGTTGCCATTCCTGAGGACTAAGGTGTCATTCCTCCGTACCCAGTAAATTCACGCCATATCCCACCCTTCAAACAGAAACACAGCCATGCGAACACAGCTGCTTTACGGTTGAAACACGAATGGAACAGAGGTACCGAAGCAATCGACTTTTGTACAAAGTCTCCCTCTGGTATAAGTGTCTCAACGAATTGTTCAATAAAATACAGAATACTGCTACTGAATTTATATTTTTTTTATGTACTTGTAAATGCATTTATAAATATTATGAGCAAGGGTGGACTTATCTCTGACAGAGATCTCTTCCAGTTAACCCAATACAGTTGGAAATCATGTCGTTAGTGAATAGGTAAAGTGCACGAATCAAAGCAAATAAACTGTTAAAAGAAATATTAATATATTTTATAGTTATATTAGAATATTACATAAATACATATACTATAAATAAATATAATACCACCCCAACTTATATAATAAATGTTTATATAAATGAATATACTACATACATTAGACATTAAGTTTAATAACTTCAAGATTTGACAGTTCAATTGGAAAAATGAAAAGTTAAGATTACGACCCAAGGGAAAGAAAATACAATTTCAACTTTTTTTGAAAGAGGCAATAGAAGGATTCTTCTGTGTGTGGGAAGAAAGTTTGTTCCATAATTAGGAAGCTCGATACGAGAAAGAGTTTCCCATAAAATGAGTTTCAGCATCATATAACTCACCACAAATTGAAGTTTTATCCTAAACACTAATTATCATTAATTTGTCTCTCTAGCTATCTACTCGTACGAAGCCAAGGCAGACTGCTAATTTAAAAATATTTAAAAATTAATACACTGCATATACCAGAGGGAGACTTTGTACAAAAGTCGTTTGCTTGGGTACCTCTGTCACATTCGTGTTTCACCCGTATAGCAGTTGTATTTACATGGCTGTGTTTCGGTTTGAAGGGTGAGATATGGCGTGAATTTACAGGCTACAGATCAATAACACCTGAGTCCTCAGGAATGGTAACGCATGGAAGGTATCATAAGCAAAACAGTATACTCTGTTATGTCCATGGTACTGCTCATGTCTATAGACGACGGTTACCACTTTCCATCAGGTGTATCATCACCTTATTTGTCATTCTAAGTTGTATAAAAAAATATATAACATATTTGTGTGGTGAAAATATATAGTGACACATATATTTAAATCGTCTAACTCCATCAAACCATCATTAAACTTCCTTTAAAAATCCTCACGCAATCCTCGTTAGAAATGACGCAGTCAGTGTGCTAGTATGGTCTACTTCTAACGAGATAATAATGATAAATTGATCTTCATTTCACCTTTTGTTTATATGGTTTGCCCTTTACAAACTTTATATTCCTTATATTTGGTCAGTGTTGTCAAATTGGACATCCCCCCCCCCCCCCAATTTTGAGTTAAAATTTTTCTGTTCGCGTAACTTTGAAGAAATGAAGACAAAAAAGACATCTGACAACCCTAACAACGACAGTAAAAATTAGTGGCTAGAGTTAAATTAAACAACTATTCAGGGCACCTACCTATAATTCTTTTTTACAATTATTTAAATTAAAATTCTTTTATCACGTGAAACAGTTTACGTGGTCTCATTTTTTTTTTGAGGTTGCTCTTTAAAAAATACCAGAGGGAGACTTTGTACAAAAGTCGATTGCTCGGGTACTTCTGTCCCATTCGTGTTTCAACCGTGAAGCAGTTGTGTTTGCATGGGTGTGATATGGCGTGAATTTACTGGGTACAGAGGAATATCACCTGAGTCCTCAGGAATGTCGTTGGTGTTGTGGGTGATCATGGGCGGCGGTGGTCACTTACCATCAGGTGAGCCGCATGCTCGTTTGCCCCCTGTGTTGTAAAAAAAACACGTCTATTTGAATCAAGATTATTTCATTTCCATTCTATAAATAAATAATTAAGCCCTCCTGAATGCTCTTTATAAATATTATCTTATTTATAAATAAACAGCTGTGACCGCACAGCGGAGCCTAAATCAATATTCAATTTAATTTCAATTAGATTAATTAGAATCGCTAAGTTTATTGGGCTTCCCGTTCAAGTGCTATTTCCAGAGTTAATTATTATAAGGCAATTATGATAGCCTTGTGTTTTATAATTTAAATATTATATATATAAATTTCTATTATAGCCAAATCTTGAGTTTGAATTATATTCCAAGAGAAAATGCATTGGATAAATTATTACATGTTAAAATTTAAGAATTTATAATATATATTAAGTAACAAATATGGTAGTAGTACCAAGAAATAAGAAACTGTGAAATAAATTCATTTTCTTGTAACTAATATGTATTTGTAACTTGTATGTTACATGTTCTTGTAACTTGCAAGTTTTACAAAGAGTCTAAACGACGCATATTCGTAATATTGAACTTGGCTCTTATTTCACATTTATGTTTTTGATGAAATATTATTACTTTTTGTGCGTAAATTATTAGTAATCATCAATAAGACATTGTTATTTGTAAAATTACTTTATTTTAATACATATATGCTGTATAGTTTTCTTTTTCATACTATTTTCCATATTTTTTTAAACTTTTTAGTCACACCTCCTTTATCCTGCAATAGCATCGAGGTAAATATGGCTGTAACTTTCAACAACAGTATTTCCGAATCGATACGACATCATAAGCTTCAAGAAAAGAGCATATTCCTTTTTGAAAGTCCGGCAGGCAGTGTATATATATATATATATATATATATATATATATATATATATATATATATATATATATTATAATATATATATATATATATTATAACAGCTTTACATCAAACAAACGCCTGTGAAGCATTATAAAGAAATATCTCAGATAACTTTGTCTAACCAATCATACTTTTATCATGTACGAAAGTTTCCGGAGAAATATGAAAAATAAAACAATAAAAAAGTACTTTTTTTTTGGCGAAGTGCGAAAACAGCGAGAGAACTAGCGGGCACAACTGTCTACTTTGTCGTTTCGTACTTTTTATTTCAGAGAAGTGTCAAAACTACGATAGTCAGCTTATTGGTTTATTTAGCCGATTGCCAATTAAGGGAGGTAAGATTTTTAATATTTAAAAATGTAACTAATATTTCAATTTACGTTTAGATCTTTGACATAACTACGTATGTATATGGAAGACATTAAAAAAATGATGCAATTATTGAAGAAATAGAAATACAAAAAATATTTTTTAGGTGTACATCTTTGTGCTAGCATTACGTAAAAACTATTCCACCTAATTAAATACGATTTTTACTGTTGTATTACTAAAGGTTTAACTTAAAAACTGTTGTATGTTCTATTTTTACAAAGCATCTTTAAGTAATTTATTTAATTTCTATCTATTTAATTTCTATTAATATTTCTAAAATTTGCCCTTAATTTAGAAAGTAGTGGGTACAAAGCTAGTGGCTTAATAAATTTTTTACGCAAATTTCCAAAGAACTAGTTTTTCAATTCGGTTGAAACTTTTCAGTACGTTAGACTCTTACATCGAGAATAGAGAATTAATTTTCATAGTTCATAATAATTTGAGTAAAGGTGACCTTATTTTACAAACATTTTTCTTAAACGTAATAATATATAGCCTATGTTACCATATTAGTACCGTTTACTGTCCACTGCTGAATATAGGCCTCCCCTATTGTGGAGGTTTTAGCAGTAGTTGCCACGCTTGGCGGGCAAACGGGCAATCACAGTTAGCATTTGGCAGCATTTTAAGAGGGGTGCTGCAGTCCATCCCTCAATCAAAAAATATATAAGTATATATTACTCGCTGATAAGCTTTCTATAGATGAAAACAATTAAAAATCGGTTGAACAGTTTTTTAGTTTATTCATTACAAACAAACAATCAAATCTCTCCTCTTTGTTAATATTAGTATAAATAACAAAGTGTCCCGTAACGAACAACAGACAGACGGATAAAAGTATATATTTTTATATATAATTATGATAAAAAATTAATTCGTGTATTTCTTATGACAGCCTCGATTTATAAACATCGCCTTCGACCAACTACTCCATTACTACCACTTTTTGTGATCACACAAAAAAATATATGATTAATATTGGCTCTCTATTCACGAAGCTGAATCCAAAACATGGGGCTCTTAAATACTTTCACTCAGTAGTCAATGAAAGCAATCAGTTCGGTAGATTACCCCAATATCTGGATAATTGATCTCTAGATTACTCCGCTGATTAATCGCTGCGTACGGTCTGCGTGCCAATGATGTGTGAGTGGGGACATAATATTAGGTTGGTACCGTAACATTACACAGAATGGGTAGAAGTGTCACTCGCATACTATCACGATTCTTCTCACTTACTCCGTAAAGTTTGGAACGGTTGTCACAAATTTATTCATTTTTAATAAATATTTACCAGAGGGAGACTTTGTACAAAAGTCGTTTGCTTGGCTACCTCTGTCCTATTCGTGTTTCAACCGTAAAGCAGTTGTGTTTGCATCTCTTTGTTTTGGCTTGAAGGGTGGGATATGGCGTAAATTTATAGG